CAATCAATGCAATTACACTAAATTGTTTTTTAACTGCATAAAATTAATGGTGTAACGTTAGGTTTAATAGTGAGCGTAATTATGGATAATTCCAAACGCCATTGACCTACTTAATATCATGTCAGTTAATATTTTCTTATATTAGTTGTAAGCCAGCATAATCTAAACTCTAGACAACTACTATATATAGTGTTTATGTAGTTTATCTATGTACCTACTGCACAATACACCAATCAATGTAGATGCTGCCAGCAACTATTATGAGGAAAATACTACGTGCATAGTTAATACTATTTACATAGTTACAGCAGTTATACCAGAGTAAGAACATCTAGGATCATTTCGTAATTAGAGTTGCCAGATATTTCGTAATAATTTTCCACGGGATTAAATAATTGTAAATCTTATTTTTAAATTTAAAATTGTTGCATAATTGCTCCAAATGAAATGATAATAACAGAGTAGATAAGTGAGGTTACTTCTTGTTAATTAAATTAAATTTATGAGATCTAAGTGATAATCAGCGACGTAATATTGCAATCAATTAAATTGTTAATCAATTGTGTAATATGTATGCCGTTTGTTGGATAATATTTTTAATATTCATGATTTGTTTGTCAACTTTGATAAATTTGATAGATTTATATGGACTGTTATTAATGGGTAATGTATCATGTTATTTTAATAAATTGTATTACAGTTTGCATGATGTAAAAATTGTTTTACTTTGCAGTTGATCATTAATATTCATTCCGTTGTTCCTTTCGAATTTTAAAATAAAAATAAATTTGGTAGTAAAGAATTGTAATTTTTTTACAAAAATTTAGAGAAAGAAATTAAGCTGAATTTTATGACTTTTTTTCTGTAAATCAAATGCAGATTCTTGATTATATAAAAATTCCTTTAAAAATTTTAATATTCAATGAAATTTATGATGAATAAATTTTTTTTGCATAATTATATTTATAAGAAATAATCCAAACTAGAAATCTTGCAATCACTATGTAACTGCCGTGACTTGTGAACTATAAATAAATAAAATTTTGCGTTATCAAATAGTGACTTTTGTTAAATTGCACTGTACTTTTTTAACTATTGACGTTTTTAAAAATATAAGCTCATCCCGATGTTAAACTCATCGAGAGCTTTCATTTGAGTACCCACATGCATTTTTGATATATTTTTCATATATACATATTTATAATATATATAAATATATGAAAAATTGATGTGGGTACTCAAATGAAAGGTCTTGATAAGTGTAACATCGGGGTGAGCTTATATCTTTAAAAAAGTCAATAGTTCACAAGATACAGGGTTATTTCTTAACTATATATCTAGAGATTAAGTATTGCACGCCTTATAAGCGAAGCGTTGAGGTTGTGCTCTACTCTCGACATTTCAAAAAAAGTAGTTTTCTCGAAACTGAAATTGATTTTTTGTAATATATATCGCACTTACCGATTAATATGAGTACACTTATATCAAGTCAAATAATTTGTCAGGCACATAAAGTATATTTCAATAACAATTTTTTTGTTTAACATAGTAAATAATGACATTAAACATAATCTTTTCTGAACGTCCGTGTATGGATGGGTGTATGTGGCAGGGAAATTGGTCGAAAAAATGATCGTACCGGAATAATTTTTTTTTTTATTATCTAAAGTAACACACGACGGATTTTCTCAATTAATATGAGCGTTCAATTCACTGTCGTTAAATTATTATTTATAAAAAACTAATGTATGACTGTGGATTTTTTTGTATATCTATCTATACATTTTATTATAGTATTTTTTTTCCTCACCTTAGAGTTATGGCGCCACTAAACCATAGCAGAGTTTTCTGTTTTTTATTATTTTGCTATAATCTTTTATTTTAATCAATTTTATTGTGAAAAATGAGATTATGAGGCTTGCACTTTTGGATTTTCTAAACTTTTTTTAAACGCAGCCTAAATATTTATCATTATAAATTGACTATTGGTGAAAATGATATGAAACCTTAAAAAGGCACAACTCCAGGTCAAAACCTTTCTAACGATACCAAATTTAACCATAAAAACCCATTTTATCATTTGAATACACTGGCCACAAAATTTTGCTTAATATCTTAATAATATAGATTATTGTCAATAAATTCTTAACTCTTTAAATTCACACTAAAAAAAAAATTAACTTGGATCGAGTAAATAATTTTCAAGAACTTCTTCTTGATTTGAGCAAAAAAATTCTCAGGCTAAGAAATTTTACCTAGCTTGTAATTTTTATTTGACTCAAGAATTTTTCGTCTTGATCCAAAATAATGAAACTTTTTAATATTATTTTCCCGGTTAAAGAATTTTTTTTTTTTATCCAAGTTGATTTTTTTTCTGTGCAGTGTTTTAGCTCGACTACTACATGTTTAGAAAAAAAATACGCATCACTATCATTAAATTATTGTTATTATTCACGTTGATGATAATAGTGATTATCACTGTGCAAAAAATATAATTTGTTTGAAATGTCAAGAATTTATTTAGTTGTCTTCCTGTTTTAAAATTATCCTTTCAGATATCTAATACAGATATCTTCAGATCCATTGACATCTTAACAATCTGGGAAACTTTGAGAAATATTTATCTCATGGAAAATAGCCAGTACTTCAATCGCATTGTATACGTACGTATTTATATTTATATATGTATACACAATACGTAAATTTAAATTATACATCGAATATTTGCATTATGTACTGCAGAGTGTAGACCGGTAAGAAGATGGAACATTGTTCGGGCAGTGTGTATGTATAAAGGATTATTTTGAGCATCAACAAAGTTGTAAACGATCTCAACTGGTGACCAGGGTGATAGAAAATAAACCAGGAGATGAGTAAAATGCGATTTACACCACGTCACTGATAAAATTAAGATAAATCGTCCAAGTAACATTGATTTACGAGAGAGACCAATGACACCTGGGACCAATGTCCCGTTCTATAGTAATACTATCTTGTCTCAAGTCTCTTGTCTTGTCGTGTCTGTCTTGTCTGCTTGGAACAAGTCTCTCATGTTTTTAATATATCTGTGTATATATTGCGTAATACCCTGCGTGTAACCTCCACTTACACTCTTCAAGCTGAATTACACTGCATGCATATTATAGACAATGTTCTACAGCTCTGTGCAAGCTCTTGTGATAGATGTCGAGTTCGAAGCACCTGTGGCTTTTAATGTCTTGGATAGTGTAATTTTATTTATTTTTTTTTTCTAACAAAACTTTCAGAACAGATAATTGACCTTTTAACAAAATATATAGGTTACTATTGCTATTATGTTACCATGAACGGTAATGGAAAATAAATTTATCCTAACCGATATTCAACGACAAATTTATTACACGTAAAAACAAATTCTTTGAATTTTTATACCATTTTTTTTATTTAATACGTGTAAACTTCTAGTTTATTAGCATTCGACAAGCGTAAACTTGCTGCTACTATTTCAGATTAATTTATTATGAATAAATACTGGTTTTAATTAAAACTAATAGTAATAATAAAATCTGTCTTGCAATATAAACTTAATAATCATTTATGAGGTATAATAAATTTTATTAACATCTAATAAATTTTTACTTCTGTGCTATATATAGCATTTAAAAACAATTTTTTTTTTCTTATTACTTTACATGTTTTTTTAAAAATACTATTTTTTTTCTTCTTACTTAAGCAATTTAACCGTTCAATTGCTTACTGTGTTGAAACAACAGTAGAGTATTGTTATTGTGAAATATTAAATTTAATAGTTTTGCTGACAAAAAAAATTTATGAGAAAACATGATGTTAATCGTATTACGGTGTTTCCTATTAAAGTTACTCAACATAACTTCTGGAGCAAAGTAAAAGTAAATAAAACACTTAGAGGACCTTCAGGGGAGAATGGGCTTCTGCTCTGACAGGCAGACAGTGCTAAATTTTTTTCCAAGGCCTCATTGCATACACCGTTCAACTGCTCACAATATATAAGTGTAAGAAAGTATCATCATTCTTTTTGTCATTTTAACGCAAATTAATTGAATTTATTTTACGAAACTACAGCCCATAAGGATTTTTTTTCTCATTTCCTTATTTCGGAGAAAGGTAATAATGTAGCGTCATTACTTTTTATGATCAATAAAATTTAATTTATTTGTCAGTTGGCTTTAAAGTTTTGATATTTACATAAGTTTTTGTCCGAGATAAGAAAATATTTATGTACTATTATTTTACGTTATATACTTGGTTAAAGTTAAATTTTTTGTTGTAATGTCTCTAAATTTATGCCAACCCTGCAATTTCCGTTAGCAAGTTTTTGATTTGGCCAATTTTTATGTCTAAACTTATCTTCTCAAACTTAACTCTCTAGTAAGGAGACGATTTAGCGACCATGCGCCACCTGTTGGAGATTTTCGGTACTATATTCAATCTAAAAATTATTTATGGGTATATCAACTCATATATTCCCAAATATAGCCAATTTTTGAATCTATATATTTTTTGACGAGTTCCATTAAATAAAATTTCCATAATTTTGATTACTAAAGGGGGAAATATGTGTAGAAGGTCGTTTTGATGCCGATTGTCATTAATTTTTTTAAGGTATAAAAAATTAATATTATTTATTGAAACTATCAGGTTATTTTATAGATATATTTATAAGTAGAGCCGAGAATTTAGTTTTTTTAAAAGAGAGAGACAGCAGATAGGTGTAGCCAAGCGTTCTGATTGGTCGTAATAAATTAATTGTTTTTTGTTTTTCGCAATCAAGTGAAGACAGCAGCTTGAAGGAAAAATAAAAATTAGATTGCTAATCCAACATGAAAATATAAAAAATATGTCAAAAAAACAGGTTAGTTTGCAGATGTTAAAGTGCTTGTAAACAAATACAAGTCCGTACTGCTCAAATAAATAAAGAAGAGAATTTCAAGCACAGTGTTGTGACCAAAATGTTTGATGAAATTAATTTAAAGTGAACAGTGACAAGCTGGCGATTTCGCTGGAGATCGCGTAAAGGAATTGCTCCGGTCTCACTGGTAATTTTGCTGGACATCGCACTGACGGTCTATTTAAAGGTCTTGCTAGAACTCTTGCTGACGGTCTCGCTGATGGTCTCACTAGAGGTTGTTTTGCTGGAAGTTGTGCTAATGGTATTGCTGCCGGTCTCGCTGGAGGTCGTTTCGCTGGAAGTTGTGCTAATGGTATTGCTGCCGGTCTCGCTGGAGATCACGCTGACGATCTCTCTGGAGGTCTTGCTGGTGATCACGTTGACTGTCTTTCTGGAGGTCCCGCTGACCCCCTCGCTAGCCTGATCTCCAGTGAGACCTTCAGCGTGATCTCCTGCGAGATCTCCAAAAAGATCGGCAGCGTGATCTCCAGCGAGACTTCCAGAAAGACCGTCAGCGTGATCACCAGCAAGACCTCCAGAGATATCGTCAGCGTGATCTCCAGCGAGACCTCCAGAAAGATCGTCAGCGTGATCACCAGCGAAATTTCTAAAAAAGACCGTCAGCGTGATCACCAGAGAGATCTCGAAGAAAGACCGTCAGCGTGATCACCAGCGAGACCTCTAAAAAAAAAGGTCAGCGTGATCTCCAGCGAGATTTCCAGAAAGACCGTCAGTGTGATCTCCAGCGATACCATCACCGTGATCGACAGCAAAATCACCAGCGAGACCGGGAGCAATACCATTAGCACAACTTCCAGCAAAACAACCTCTAGTGAGACCATCAGCGAGACCGTCAGCAAGAGTTCTAGCAAGACCTTTAAATAGACCGTCAGTGCGATGTCCAGCAAAATTACCAGTGAGACCGGAGCAATTCCTTTACGCGATCTCCAGCGAAATCGCCAGCTTGTCACTGTTCACTTTAAATTAATTTCATCAAACATTTTGGTCACAACACTGTGCTTGAAATTCTCTTCTTTATTTATTTGAGCAGTACGGACTTGTATTTGTTTACAAGCACTTTAACATCTGCAAACTAACCTGTTTTTTTTGACATATTTTTTATATTTTCATGTTGGATTAGCAATCTAATTTTTATTTTTCCTTCAAGCTGCTGTCTTCACTTGATTGTGAAAAACAAAAAACAATTAATTTATTACGACCAATCAGAACGCTTGGCTACGCCTATCTGCTGTCTCTCTCTTTTAAAAAAACTAAATTCTCGGCCCTATTTATAAGTATTTTTTCGTATTAAACAACAATATAACTTAACAAATAGCGGAGATATCAGCTGACACACATCGTAAGTTGTCATCCGACTTAGCAGTTGGTGTGCAGTATGGAAGTCACAATTTTTATTTGAAATCACTCGGCACAGAAAAATTACTTTTTTTATATGTGTATCTTTTATATGAACCTCAATTCCAAAAAAAAAAGTAAAAATTTGCATTTTTTAGAGGGCTGTGAAATTAAGTCGTGATTTTTTACTATTTTTTCATGTATTGTTCATTAAAAAAAAATAGTTTAAATAAAAATATCGCTTATGATGGAGGTTCATATTCAGCGTAATTGTATAAAGAAAAGTAATTTTTCTGTGCCATTGATTTCAGATAAAAATTGTGGCTTCCATAGTGCACACCAACTGCTAAGTCGGAAGACAACCTACGATGTGTTTCAGCTGATATTTCCGCTACTTTTTAAGTTATATTGTCGTAAAATATGGAAACATCTAAATATATGTATAAACCCTCATGAAAAAAAATATAAATAATATATATTTCGAAATATATAAAAAATATATTAAAAATCTATTAAAAATATATGTAATAGATTTATCTTTAATAACTAACTTTTGGCCGATTTTCATATATATTTTATATATTTTAAATATATTTTAGATAAATTCAAGATATATTTTAAAATACATAAAAAATACATAGCTAAAAATATAAAAAAAATATATTTTGAATATATATTTTATGTATTTGAAATATATAAATTATATATGAAAATCGGCCAAAAATTAGTTATTAAAAATATATTTATTATACATATTTTTTATATATTTATATATTAATTATAGATTTTTTATATATTTAAAATATATTTTCTATATAATTCGAAATAAATATTTTTTATATTTTTTTTCATGAGCGATAACCTGATAGTTTCAATAAATAACATTAATTTTTATACCTTAAAAAATTAATAAAAAATCCGCATGAAAACGTTTTTCTACACGTATTTCCCCTCTTAATTCAAATGATCTTGATATTTAAATAAAAAATGACTAATCATAAAAAATAAAATAATAAAAAAAATTATTATCAATATAATATTCTCCGTGTTGTAAATGGTCTTGCATCGTATTCATATACTCAAACTTAATTTCATTTTATGGATGGTACTCTCAGCAGGACTCTGATCAATGCTATTAAACATATTACGTACCAAATATATATATATAAAATGTATTAATACAACATAATATACTTTGTAAAGTAAATTATTTGAATAAGACATGAGAGAAGGCTTTGAAAGGTGGGAAGATAGACATTTAGTACAGTGCATAAAAGCAGGTTTTGATCAAACGTTGTAATCTCAAAGAGGACTTTAATTTGTTGGAGGAAACACTTACCTCGGTATTAACTGTGTTTAATTATATTCCCAAAGGGTCTTTTGGTAGTAATTTGAGCGTGCTTCGAGAGACTTACCTGAAAAACAAAACGAATAACAAATATTATATTTAATTAAAAGTAAATTATTTACATGGAAAAATAAAAAAATATTGATACTGAGAAATTAAATTGTGGTATTATTATTAAATAAGAGTTAAAAGAATACCCAAGAAAATTTTTTTAGTAGTTGTTAGTCCAAGCCTTGGATTTCCCAGGTAATTAGATTCCCTCATTAACACCTAATCGGCAATCTCGCTCAGTTGAATGAGAAGTAAAAGGGCGGGGGGCAAAAAGCTTACTTGGTAAAGTCGGGACCAAGTTGGTTGATTGCCACGATCGATAGTCCTCCTTAAATTGAATCTCTGTGGCGATTGTGAATCCTCAGTCTTTCTCAAACAATTTCAACTTTTATTTGACTTTTTAAACTTTGTTTTCTTTTAAAACTAACCAACAATTAGCACTACCTCAAGATAATCACAGTGTTTATTCGTGTAAGTAATAAACCTTTCATTTATTTATCCTTTTTCGGGTACGAAAAAAAAAAATACAAATAAATATTCTTTAGCTTCATTTTATAATACGGTGACCGTCTTATATTTCTCATACAATAATTACCTACACAGAAAGAAAAATTTCATGACTGGAGAACAAAATTCTTGGCTCAAGAAAATTTTCGGGTGCCTGAAAGAAGACCGAAGTTGTGTTGGCCGGAGTACAAATTTTTCTTGAAATTCTATTCTTGGTGGAAGTCATTTTTTCTTAATTCAAATTATCATAGATACTTGATACAATAAATTTTTATATTTGATCAAGATTTTTAGATACTTTAGGGAAGCAGTGCCACCTACTTCAGCTGAGAAAAAAATTTTCTCACCTTGAGAAAATTTTTCTCTTGAATTTTTGATACCCATTTTATATTATTTTAGCGTGCAATTATACATATTGAATGAAAAAAAATAATTCAATATTATTTGATCTTCCCATTTGACATGTTTTCTTAACAAATAAATTTTCTTGGATCAAGATACGTATTTCTTAAAGCAAGACAATTAATTTTGTTGGAATAAGTGATATTTTTTGTGTCAAAAAAAAATTTTTTTTTTCGCTCAAGAAAATAATTAGGAAGAAAAATATTTTCCTGGCTCAAGTGAATATTTTTTTCTGTGTATAGATGTTATTTAATTGTAAATATTTTTATCTTCATTGACCATATCTGAGTCAATTTAAAAAAAAAAAAAACGATCAATAAATAAAATTGTATGAAAAAACTTCAGGATTTAAAAAGTTGAAAAATAAAAATAATATACAACTGCGGAGACAAAATTTAAAAGAATGAATAAGGTGATGAAAAATTAAAGTTTGTTTTTTATATTTTTAAAACTTCGATAGAAAGAAGCAAAACCGTTGAATTTATAAAAACAAAGTTTACAAAACTTTTTTTTCTATCTTTCTCTTTCTCGTTTCTTTATATTTTACTTCATTGTTTTTTTTTTTCTATTTTATTCGCCGTTTGGTTATTGAGTATAAGCAATAGAATTTTATGTACGCTATAAAAAGCACATTTATTTTTTCTTTTGTTGTCTTTCCTCTCATTTTATTAACTTTATTTTTATTCATAACATATTTCTTCGGGAGTATTGATTTGCCGTTTGATAAACGTAATACGACACTTGATAAAACGAGTTGCAAAACTATTAAAATTAATTGAATTTGTACTTTATTGAAAAAAGAAAAAAAATTTATTTTATTAAATTGCTCTCGATTTTTTACAGCCTGAAATCATTTAGCTCGAAGAATAAATACTCTGATAGAAGGATTTAGTAACAAAATTTTTAGTCATTTATTTGGGAGAAACAGATATTTTGTACCCATCAATATTATTTGTTACAGTTTAATAAATGATTTCATTATATGAACAAAGCCTTATTACATGGAAATAAATAATTATTTCCACCAAATAATATTTAGTAACAGGTACTAAATATTTCTTTGGTAAGTATTGTCGGTAGATGGCTATACTTTAATTCCAATGTTTATGTGATACACAATCTATTCACTGACTCAAATTTTTTTATTCAGCTCGATTTTGGGAGTTTTATCGAACCTTTACAAACACACATACTTCCAATAAATGGCTTTTATTTATGTCTTTTCTCAGTGGAGTTTAGCTTACATTTTTCAATTTGTCTATTATTGATATGTTAAAAACTTGTTTAATTTTTAATTTTATAAATGTCTCAAACAAAAAAATATAATTTAATGAGATTCTTTTCTTTATATACCTTAGATTTTTACTTAAAATTATTTTGATTTATTTTAAGTTGAAAAGTTAGGTTACACGCTAAAATTAGTTAAAAAATTAATTTCTTTGATACCAATAAACGATTTATTAAGTAGCAATAAATCATTTGTTAAATACTACCAAATATTTATTTGGTGGGACTAAATAGGCTTTAATTAATGATTTAGTACCTATTACTAAATATTTGGTAATGAAAGGTTTTGTTACTAAATCATTTAGTATCTGTTACTAAATATTATTAAATAGAACTAAGTCCTTCTATCAGTGCATAATTAAATTATTATTTTATAAATAAATAAAATAAGTGAAAAAAAGCGTAATTACACGTTAATAAATAAGAATTAAATAAAAATAAACCAGAGGTTTTATTGCACTATTAATATTAAAACAAACGTTACGCTTTCTCAAACCCATTTGTTATCGCAATTTGTCTTATTCTTATTTTTTATTCTGAAAAGTAAATTCACTTGTTTCTTTCTTTCTTTCACGGCACATGGAACTTGACTAAAAACCAGTGAAGGCTTAAATCAGTGAAGCTAATTTTCTGTTGGTGTGAGTCCTGCCAACATTCGTAATGATCACGTTAAACTGCAAAACCGTTTTTATTCCTTAGGACGTAGTCTTTATAC